AGTGGTATGGGGAGGGACCTAGGAATTTGCATTTCTTTCTTTCTTTTTTTCTTTTTTTGTGAGGAAGATCAGCCCTGAGCTAACATCTGATGCCAATCCTCTTCTGTTTTGCTGAGGAAGACTGGCCCTGGGCTAACATCCATGCCCATCTTCCTTTACTTTACATGGGATGCCGCCACAGCATGGCTTGACAAGTGGTGCGTCGGTGCGCGCCCGGGATCCGAACCGGCGAACCCCGGGCCGCCGCAGCGGAGCGCACACACTTAACCGCTGTGCCACCGGGCCAGCCCCAGGAATTTGCATTTCTAATAGTTTCCAGGTGAGGCTGACGCTGGCTGGCCCAGGGACCATGCTTGGAGAGATACTGCTTTAGAATTTCTGTGAATTTGGCCCAATATTACCTTTGAAGAGTAGGTCTTATTATATTTTGAGGCAAAAAAATGTGTAAGTGGGAGTACAGGTGCTCGATCAGCCCACCTCCATCAGTGACCTCACCATGTTTCTATTGAGAGCCCACCCGATGCCCAGCTGGCCCTGCTCTAGGGCTGGGGGTGAAATGGTGAAGGAGGCAGACGGGTCCCTGCCTCAGAACTCACAGCCAGGCAGGTCTGGCATGTGATCTTTCCACCTGCGAATCTAAAAGGCAGCTCAAAATAAGGTCCCACACAGAACCCGATTCACATTCCACCTGTTTCTTCTCGGGTCTTCCCCATTCGGTGACTAGCCCACCATCCAGCCCAGTCCCAAACACTATGAGTCATCCCCATTCCTCGCTCTGTCTCCCATGTCTAATGCCGCGAGGTGGTGGGCTCTGCCTCCATTATACATCTCAACCCTGCCCACCGTCATCTCTCCCTGTATGAGGGTCTCCTGCTTCCATCCTTGCCCCCATGGTCCACCCTCTGAGCTGCAGCCAGAGCCATCTTTTTAAGACAAATCAGGTCACTCCTCTGCTTACCCCCTCCAATGTCTTTCTTTTCTTTTTTTTTTTTTTTTGTGAGGAAGATCAGCCCTGAGCTAACATCCGTGCTAATCCTCCTCTATTTGCTGAGGAAGACCGGCACTGAGCTAACATCTATTGCCAATCCTCCTCCTTTTTTTCCTTCCCCAAAGCACCAGTAGATAGTTGTATGTCATAGTTGCACATCCTTCTAGTTGCTGTATGTGGCACGTGGCCTCAGCATGGTCGGAGAAGTGGTATGTCGGTGCGCGCCCGGGATCCGAACCCAGGCCGCCAGTAGCGGAGCGCGCACACTTAACCGCTAAGCCACAGGGCCGGCCCCTCCAATGTCTTTCTATTGCACTTAAAAAAACATCCCAAATCCTTCCAGGGCTTCCAGGCCTGAGGCGGTCCTTGCCTCTCACCATACCCTCCTTGCTCAGGTAGCTCCTACTACGCTGGCTGTGCCTGTTCCCACCGCAGGACCTTGGCCCCACATGGTCCCTCCATCTGCAACACTCTTCCCCCAGATCTGCCCTTGGCTGGCTCCCCTTCTGCTCTGAGATGTCTTCACTGACCCCTCTATTCAATGTTGCCTCATCCCCAGCTACTATCTGTCCTTATTAACTTGTTTTATTTTGTTCATAGTATTTACCATCTTTTGAAACTGTCTATTAATTAGTCAGTTTGGTTGTTTCCTGTTCGTCTCCCTCACCAGAATGTGAGCACCCTAAGAACAGAGATTGTCTCTCTTGTGCACCCCAGTACCTCGAGTCCTACCTGCACCTGGCATGTGCTCAATAAATATTTGCTGAATGAATGGGATTATACAGGATGCCATGTAGGGGCGTGTCCCCAAACATGACATTGGGGAAAGCTTTCCAGGAGAAGGAAGTTCAAGCTGAGACTGCAGGGACTGCAGGATTTGTCCAGGAAGAGAAAGACTCGTTGAAGCAGAGGAACAAAAAAAAAGGATGTGGGAAGGTCGTAAGGCATGGAATGTTCTGGAAACTGTACATAGTCCAATTTGGTTGGAGCAGGAGATGGGGGGTGGGGGTGGGGTGAGAGGATTGCAGAAGCATCAGGCAGGCCATGGAGGGCCTCACTGCTCCTTGAGGGGTTTGAGCTCTATGCTGAGGGCAGTGGGCAGCCCCCGAGGGTGTTAATGTCAGGCATTTTAGAAAGGGCCACTGAATGCAGAATGGTTTCCAGGGAGAAAGCCTTGTGGGAGCGGGGCTGGGAGGTGCAGTGGCCCAGGTGAGTGGTGCTGATGCCCTGAGCCAGGCAGGTGGCAGTGCAGAAGGAAAGAGGCAGCCATGTGCAGGGGACGAGGAGGAGGTGGTCTTGCCAGGATAAGGAGATGGAGTGGGCTGAGAGAGAAAGACGTGTCATCAGTGACAGCCAGGTCTCCAGCTTGTAGGACTGGGTGGGCAGAGGTGCCATTCAGAGTAGGGGCACTATAGGGGGAGCAGGTTTAGGGGGAAATTGGGCTTCTGTTTTGGACAGATAGAATTTGGGTCTAGGTGTGCAGTGGGGCACGTGTCAGTTTTCCAGAAAGAGGGAGTGTCCGTGTGGTCAGCTGCTGAAGAGAGCCTTCTTGGATGAGAAGGAAGTGTCCACTGGGGGGAGTGGCTAGGAGGACGCTGGTCTCAGCAGGAGCAGTTTGGCTGGAGCAGCCTTGGCGTGTGTCAAGCCATGAAGGGAGGTGAAAAGCAAAGCACAGATCCGCCTTTCAAGAGGTTCGGAGGGAGAGACAGAGGGCTGCAGCTGGGGGCCTGCAGGCGGCTGGGTGTTTTTGTATTTTAAGTTGGGGGGGATTTAAGTCCTTTGGAATGTCAAGGAAGGTTCCAGAAGAAAGGGAGGTTGGCGGTTCAGGAAGGGCAAGGGGATGGCATTTGGAGCCCAGGGGTGGTTCTGGAGTGAGGAACTGGCCTCTTCCGTTGTCCCAGGTGGTGGGAGCAGAGGCCATTTGGGGGCAGGAGGTGGAAGGTTTGAGTTCCCAGGTGATGGCTTCTCTTTTCTCCAAAAAGTGGCAGGGAGATCCTTGCTAGGGGGGAGGAGGAATAGAGTGGGGGCTTCAGGGGACTCTGGGCATGTGAAATGCCACTGAGGAGAGGGTGCAGGAGCACAGGGGAACTGGACTGTTGGGCTTGGGGAGGGTCCAGCTGAGGGGAGAGATCATGAGTTTGCAGTACCCCCACCCTTCCCCAAAGCAAGATGGTTGTAGGGTTTTTCCAGGCAGGGATGATGGAAGAACCCTGGGGCAAGGGAGTCAGTGACAGGCTGGACCACTGGGTGGGCTGGGCAGGGAGGGAGGTGAAGATGGGAGAGGTCAATTCATCGGGAGGAGGAGGACTTGAGGCAAGGGAAGAATCTGGAAGCCCTCATGACTAACAGGATGGGCAAAGGCTCTGGGATGACTCTGGGTAGGGTGGGGGACATTACTTTGCTTCTGAAAGGGATTCCCACTCTGGGGTTGGGAGTACCTTCCTTCCAGAGGCTACCATGCAAGGAAAGGGCCTGTTGTATTTCCCCAGGATGCTTCCATGGGCCTCAGGCCTTCCATTGCAGGGCCATTGGCCAGGAAGCGGCCCCACCTAGAAGCTTTGACTGGGGCCTGGTGGTGGCTTTGGGGCCAGCTGGAGACCAGGACTATGGGGTTCGATGCCCCCACATGCTGCCCCATCACTATGCAAGTCCGTTCCTTGTTGGGCCCCCAGCCCTCCCCTCTTAGTGGAGATAGTGTGCACAGGTTTATTCCCCCCTTCCTGACCCTAGGAAGAGGCTGAAGGAAGTCCCAAAGGTGCCATAGGAAAGTAGGTTCCCTGTGGGTGGGGGGGGTGAATGGAAGGAGAGCCTGGCTTCTCCAGCCCTGTCTTCCCGCCCCAGGAACTCTTCCTGGGTTGCCGGGCTCCATGCAGAGAATTCAAGTGCATTCATTCTCTCAAGGAATCCTTGCAAACTTTGCTAGGTGGGTGGTGTTATCAGCCCGATTTTACCCATGAGGACCTGAGGCGCAGGGAAAGTGGCCTGTCTGAGGTCAGTGGCAGATACCAGCTAGAACCCACCAGTGCCTCCAGGTGCCTCCCCTTTCCTGCCCTCTCCTAAGAGAGGCTGGAGACCCCTTTCCATCTCAGCAGGGGCCTCAGGACCCCGACTCTGCCCCAGGGGAGGCTGTATCCCCTGCTTTGGAGTGGGGCTGGGTCACCGTTAGGGGCTGTGTGGTGCCCCCTCCTTCTACAGTCTAATAGTGGGCTTTGCTCTCCTAAAGGGCCCGAGGAGTACTGCCAGTGCTGGCGACGGAGGCAAGGACGATGACACGCGGGGGACGCCAGGCTCGGACCGCGGCGGGATGGCGCGCCCAGGTCAGTGGGGGGACCCCCACCCCGCCCCCCAAGCGGGTCTTGCTCTCGGGCCTCGCTGGTCTGAGAAGTTCGGTGCTGGCCCGCCAGAGGGCGCCCGGGGGCGGAGGCGGGGCGGGGCCGGGGAACCCGGGAAGCGCCGCGGCCGGTCGGTCGCGCCGCGCAGGGTCTGCGGCTCAGTCCGAGGGTCGGATGGATGGCCAGGGGATCCCGAGGCAGGACCGTCGGGCGCTCAGTGAAGCCGGATTCCGGGGGTTGAACGCTCGGGGATTCGGAGTCGAGCGTTCTCAGACGCCGGGGCGGCTCGGATGCCGTCACCCCAGACGCTCCCCTCGACCCCCCCCCGCCCCCCTCCGGCGTGCAGCCGGGAGGGGGCCGCTCCTGGGTCGCGTCCGGGGCGGGTCTCTGGGCCCTGGCCCTCCGGTGCCCCTGGCTTAGGAGAGGACACTTGAGAATCCACGAATAGGGGTAGAGAGTGAGAGCCCACTTTTGGGAGAGTACACTCCCCCAGCCCACTCCGGGCCGGCCTCGGCCCCGCCCCGGCCCCAGGCCCCGCCCCGCCCCGGCCGCGCCCTCCCGCCGCTGCCTCTTG